ATGACAGTGACGTGGGATTTTGGGGCTGGGGGTGTTGTATAGCCTGAGGATTCACATGGGGAGGAACAAGAACACTCCAAAAGAAACTCAGCACAGAGCTGGCAAACAGCTGTGTTGGAAAATAATTCCTTGTCTTGCAATTAAGAGACGATTTCCACTGCAAACACATAGGACATTGGGTTAATAGATTTCTTTAAAGGAAAATCTGGTTTGGCTATCAAAAGAGTGGAAGTGAGGAACAGCTGTTTTGTCAGTGAGGACAGATTGTAGGGAAGGCTCAAATATCAAACCACAAATTAAAGCAGCATTTATTTCTCTTCTATTTACATTTTCAATAAAAGGAAGGGAAGTTACACATGGGGAAAATGCAGAATTCCATGGAGAATATTGCACAATGCCAATACTAACCTGTTTGGGCTTTTTAACTACCTCTGAAGTAATTAATATTCCACATTTTCAAGTCATACTACTGAATTTTGCTCCATTCTGGAAAACACTTATATTATATATATATTTATACCACTTCCCCATGTAAATACTTAGCAATTAAAAGCAAACTAGAAACACAACTCACCATCCATGAACTCTGTACATAATGAAATCCTGTTTTCTACAAAAAAAGCACCATAAAATCCTATGATATATGATGAGTCACACTGGGAAAAGAAAGAAAAAAGAGAAGTCTGGGTGAAAATTTGCTGTCAGAAAATTTAAGCAAGGATAATTGAAATGATAATATCAACATACCTTATAAAGAATTTCTAACTCTGACATTATCTGCTTCTGGAGTTCCAGTGTTATGTCTAAGGGTATGACCTAAAAGACAAAGAGATATGATCAGAGTTGACATAAAAAGTGAATTATTTAAATCAAAAAACCTGAAGATCCATATATTAATAATTCTTGTGTGAGAACAGGGAAAGGAGGGATAGGTGGGAAGAATATTTTAATAGAACAATGAGCAAAGGAAGGAAATGGAAATGACAAGAGAGACTGATAATCCTAGAATGGTTTGGGTTGGAAGGACCTTAAGGATCATCTCGTCCCACCCCTGCCATGGGCAGGGACCCCTTCCACTGGCCCAGGTTGCTCCAAGCCCCATCCAACCTGGCCTGGAACACTCCCAGGGATGGAGCAGTCATAGCTTCTCTGTGCCAGTGCCAGTGAACAATTCCTTCCCAATATCCCTTCTCTCCCTGCCCTCTGGCAGTGTAAAGCCATTCTCTGTGTCCTGTCCCTCCGTGCCTTGTCCCAAGTCCCTCTGCACCAAGGGCTGCAGGGAAGATGAGCTGAGCTGCTTGGAGTTGTAAGTTTTCAGGATCTTCAGGACAAATTCTCTTAATGAGGCACTGAAAGTTGAATTTAAACAATTCTTTGCCATGATTCTTTGCAGACTCGCCCACTCAATGATTATTAAACACTACCTTACAAACCAAACTGGACTCTGAATGGCTTTAAGACAGGCTCAGTCTGCTCCCACCCAACACTTCACAGTGTAATACCTTGAGCTAAAGGGAAGCAAAACTCAGTCAATTTGCAGAATTAGCAGAACAGATATTACAGGCTGAACATCCTGCTGACAACACACAACACACAGAGCCCATCTCCACACACGCAGTTTGCAGCACCAAAATCTGTCTGAAAGGAAAACCCATAACCTGCTTCTCTCAGGAATTTGCTTTAGGGTTATTTATAAAAGCTGTCACTAAACTAAATTGTAAGTGTAATACTGAACTGCCAAGAAACATTTAACACACGTGTCTAGATCAATAATCATTTGCCAGCAAGATTCACTTATATTTTTTTCCAGCATGAAGAACTTGAAAATAACTTCCTGGGATATCATCAGTTTTATCCATAGAATATTATCACAATTTCATCTTGTTAACAGTATAAAATCCAAGTTTTATCTCACTAAATTCTACTCTCAGGAAGAATTTCGCCTTGTTCAGGGCAAAAGCTCCACTGAGCCCAGCAGTGACTAGTTAGCATGAGCAGCATCAAATCTATCCCTGACATCCCATCAGCCAGGCCCTGGCATGAGCAAAGGTCTCAGGCTCATTTTCATTAGCTCTAATTACAAACAGCCCCTGAATTCTAAGAGTGAGGAGAACCTGGAAAAGCAGAGGTGCCTGATTTACAGGTGACCAGGATACCACAAGGAGGAATGACAAGAATATATCATCCCAAAATAAATCAGGAGAGACCAGAGCCTCACTTTATCTGCATAACTGTTGTAGAGAACAGTTTTCTTCCACCTGAGCATATGTGGCCTGTGTGACACAGGAGGGACACCATCTGATGTCAAGGTTGGAGGAACCTTTTACAAGAAAGAGGAATAAAATATCTATATATAGCTCTTTATAATCTCATTTTGTATCAAATTTCCAAGCCTAGTTTGTAAGGGTGAAACAACTTTAAAGAACAGATGAGCTGAGAGTGTTCAGCATGGGCTGGAACAGTGATAAAGCAAATTAAGTAACCCATAAACCTCCTCAAAGCCACTGATACTGAGAAAGAAGATGGAAAAAAGACTTGGTTGCAACTTCAGAGAATCACAGAGTCATGGAATGGTTTGGGCTGGAAGAGACCTGAAAGATCATCCCATTCCACCCCCTGCCATGGGCAGGGACACCTTCCATTAGCCCACCTTCCACAGATGGGATATGGGGAAGGAATTGTTCCCTGGGAGGGTGGTGAGACACTGGCAGAGGTTGCCCAGAGAAGCTGCGGCTGCTCCATCCCTGGAAGCATTCAAGTCCAAGCTGGACAGCAACTGTAGCAACTTGGGCTAGTGGAAGGTGTCACTGGGTGGAACGGAACAAGATTTAAGGTCCCTTCCAACCCAAACCATTCTGGGATTCTGTGATACTGGACCAGAAGGGCTTTATTTTAAATTGAAATGCCATGGAGGTCCTCTGGGATTGAGCAAGATGCTCCAAGCAGTCTTCCTTATCAAACTCCATCTTCCCTATCAAGTTTTTGCCTAAAATACCACAATCTTGAAATCACTTAGCACAATGCAGGTGAACTCAACTCACCAACACCATTTCCAGTGAGAAGGGTTAATTCTGGACCAGAAGGGCTTTATTTTAAATTGAAATGCCATGGAGGTCCTCTGGGATTGAGCAAGATGCTCCAAGCAGTCTTCCTTATCAAACTCCATCTTCCCTATCAAGTTTTTGCCTAAAATACCACAATCTTGAAATCACTTAGCACAATGCAGGTGAACTCAACTCACCAACACCATTTCCAGTGAGAAGGGTTAATTTCTGAGAGGAATACCTGAGCACATTTCCTCTGCTCTCCACTACACCTCCAGGACAAATAAGGATGAGTTGTCAAGTTAAATCCAAGCAGTCAAGTGCCTGAATTATAATTTACTCTGTGCTCAATTTAAATTAGTGTGAGGCTATTAAAATATACACTATAAATACGGCAATTCATCACCAGCTGTCATGGATGACTTCATCTATTTGCTGGAGTGGCACACGTTCCACTGAAGGGAACAGGAGCAAAATCACAGGTCAAATTAAGCTGCTATTCTCTTTTAATTCACTTCTTTAATCTGTGGCGACATAATTGTCTTTTACAGTATGTACAACTCAAAGGAAATTTGGGACTATTCTAGGCAGTGTACAAATGATTAATCAAATGGTCCATTTAAATGCCAGCTAAGAGCAAGAGGAACTAAAAGCAGGTGAGGAATGGCAAGCAGCTAGTGGATGCTCCCATTTTTCACTTGGATTTTGGCCTATAATTAGGAAAAAGTTACCTCTGAAAAAGCCATAAAATCTTCTGCAGGTAAAGTTTACATAAAATGGACACTTCCATGGGTAAAAACTGGCTGATGGCCCAGAGAGTTGTGGTGAATGGAGCTAAATCCAGCTGGGGCTGTCACTAGATATGTTCCCTTGGACTCAGGGTTGGGGCAGGTCCTGTTGAACATCTGCATTGATGATCTGGACATGGGGAGTGAGTGAACATCTGCAGATGACACCCAGTTGGGTGGGAATGTGGATCTGCCTGATGGTAGGAAAGCTCTGCAGAGAGCATCAGTGGGCTGAGGACAACTGCATGAGGCTCACTAAGTCTCCGTGCTGGTCCTGCCCCTGGGACACAACAGCCCATGAC